GTCGATGCAGGAAGCGAGAAAAACACGGATGCCGATGCAAAGAGGAAAGTATTTCGGTTCGACTTTCCTCTTCATCGGATTCCAAGCGTGGTAGTTCCCGAGGAAAAAAGTTGGCTCGAAGACGTATGTTCCTCGCGCCAGCGCGTCTACCGGCTCCGGATGAACCAGTTCTTGCCGCGTAGCAAGCACTTAAGCTGCGGCTTAACTGGGCTTAAAGCGTTGCTCGACTCCCTCCATTTTACTTCCGTCACGATCCGTTGCCTGACCGTTGCACTGCCGCGGCTTTTAATCGAGCTCCAACGGATTATCGCGACTCGCGATCTTCCATCAGAAACCTCTCGTCATTTTACATTCGGCTAAATGTTCGGTTGGAAAGCCTCTTTGCGGTATTTTTTAACGTCATCATTTACTGCTCAGCAGTGCAATTCTATAACTACTGCAAATCGAAGGTTTAGGTAATGTTAAATCACTGCTTGAAGACTCTCACTGTTTCAAAAGTTCATTGTGATAATTTACGATGAGAGTCTGCAGAAATCTTATTGTGAGAAAACAGGTAGCTTAACAATTTTTGTAGATTACTATTTTGTGAAATTTATTGAGAGACTTTAGATGTTAAGTAGACATGGCGTTTGATGCCAACTGTTTGACTCAAACTTGTTCTCTGTGAAGTCAATGTGGTCTTACTCTAACTTATTATTTTTGCAGTTAACGTTGTCTGACTGAACCTTTGAAAATAATGAAAGGTTTTTCTTCAAATTCATGCATCTGAATGAAATTTTCACGATCCCCACATTTAGCTGAACGACTCCATTTGAGCTGCCTATAGTTCAAGAAAAGTTAGGATAGGTCGTCTTTGTTCATATCAAAGCTACATATGTAATCTTCATTGTCACATGTGGTAAATGAGCATGTTACCCAACTGCTACCTATAGTTCAAGAAAAGTTATGTCAGGTTATCTTTGTTCATATCAAAGCTACATATGTAGTCTTCATTGTCATACGTGGTAAATGAACATGTTAACCAACTGCTAGCTATAGTTCAAGAAAAGTTATGTCAGGTCATCCTTGTTCATATCAAAGCTACATATGTAGTCTTCATTGTCATACGTGATAAATGAGCATGTTACCCAACTGCTACCTATAGTTCAAGAAAAGTTATGTCAGGTCATCTTTGTTCATACCAAAGCTACATATGTAGTCTTCATTGTCATATGAGCTAAATGAACATGTTACCCAACTGCTACCTATAGTTCAAGAAAAGTTATGTCAGGTCATCTTTGTTCATATCAAAGCTACATATGTAGTCTTCATTGTCAGATGAGGTCAATAATCACATTACCCAACTGCTACCAATAATTCAAGAAAAATTAGGTTAGATCAACCTTGTTTATACCAAAACTTCATATCTAGTCTTCATCGCCACATGTAAATAAACACGTCACCCAACTGCATACTGCCGCAAGGTTATAGCACATGCATTCTTAACAAACTTTCTTGAACTTGGTTGACATGAAAGATTCAAGTTTCTCATGCTTGCAAACATTTTGAAGTAATGGAACTTGCTCGTTTATCTTCCCCATTTGAACTCGGAGCGTTTTAACATCGAATCCAATGTCGAAGAGTCGCGAACTCTGAACTCTCTTTCAAGTGTTTCACTATCCTTGAAATTTCTGCCACTTGCAGGACCGCGAACGTTTCCGGTCCCCGGAGGTTTCCCATGAAACTCGTTGCTTTCAGGAGACTCGCCAGGATTTCCTGTTGAACTTCTCCCGTCATTGTGAACGTCTTAATATTTTAGTTGCCGGCTTCCGAAGATTCGGAACTTCCTGTCGACTTCCACCTCGGATATTCTCGACAGATTCGTGGAGATTTCGCGCCGCGGAGAATTCGAAATACCTCGAAACGGAGCAAGGTGCTCGATCGTGTTTACCTTGTAATTATGCATCGAACTCGCCGATCCTTTCGCAATTTCATCCGAGAAGCCAGATCACCCAGTTAGATCGATACGGCTGGTTAGGCTCGCCTTTGATTTCACGAGGATAATGAGGAAACAATTGCTAGATGGTAATCGTTTATAACATCTTTATGAATAAAAACGAAGTACTAAGTTTTAGAGTCTGATAATATTTTTAGATAAGTTTAGAATCATTTTTAACCGACTTCATTGGGATCAGATTTTCGAGAGCAGATTTTTATTTCAGTAAAACGAACATCATGGCAGGTTATTTATTAAATTCTGTGATTCTGTATTACACAGTTAAGTAAAATCTCGCTTGACAAGAAACCTTCAGAAGCACGTAGTAAAATAAAAGTTGACCGCTTTCAAGAGAGGCTAAAGAACGCCTGAAATTTTGAGTGCATTCCTGAAACTCTGTCATGTCAGGTATTCACTTTCTCGGGATACAATATTTCAAAATAGTTGCGTGAAATTTCGTGCGTTCCTGCGAGAAAAGGCAAAATCTCGAAGAGACGATGCGTCAGTCGGTTAAAGCGGGGCAATGATTAAGGAGAGAGAGAGGGGATGTCGAGAGCTATCAAAGACCCTCAATTTTTGCACGTTTCTCGGTCAATCTGGCTGCCGCCCCCTGGAGAAATCAAGACCTTCCGGAGAGTCGACTTAGGATATCCTTGCTCGTCGAATTCGATAAAGGGTCGCCGGAAATCCATCGTTCCTGCGATATACCTACTCGTTCCCGGGCCTCGATTGTCGAAAGATAGACCTTTGTGATTCTGTTAGAACTCCTCCTGGGTAACATCGCTGTAACTAGGTAGTCATCAGGGTAGCCTCCCGCATTCGAATTGGGGGATGGCACTTCCTACGTGATACGAAGATTGTACTGTATTACTTACAAACTTTAGGTAAACAATTCTCCAATTTACGAATGATCAAATATGCAAGTATACAAGTTCATAAATTTTGTAATTTCCAAATGTCCAGATTTGTAGATTTTTAAATTTGTAAGTTCCAAAATTACTGAGCTATAAAAACGTTATGTTCTCACATTTCTAGACTACAAATCCCTACATCCACAAATCTATATGTCTTTGAACCCTTGTGTCCCCAAATCTCAAGGTTCTACGTTCCTAAACATCAAAAACTTTAAATCTAAAAATTGCTAAAGTTTCAAATTCTCGAATTTTCAAATTTCCAAATTTGTTCAATATTTTTGAAATAACGTAGTCGAAATGTATGTGTGAAGAGAAGTACTGTAAAATCGAACAGAACAGAATGGAAAGCAGAATGAAAAGCAGAATGGAGTGGAATGAAACGAAGAGTCAAGTAAATCATGGAAGAAGGATAGAATCGAAGGGTGGGATTCGAGAAGGGCCTTTGACTGGCGCATGAAGGGGACCAAACTAACCCCTCAGGTTTGCTCGGTCTGCAAGGGTGCGCGATATTGATTCTCGCCTACGCTTCCACCGACGACGTTGTACATTCTGGTGCAACGTAGGCTCCCTTTCGTTAAAAACAAATGTGGGGGAACAGTATGCTTCCACTTGATTTTGAGAGATCAAATATGCGTTCCCCGGAACTGTTCTGGTTCGACATTTTCCAATTTTTGATAACTCAATGTTTCAGATTCTCAAATTCTCAAATTTATTACTTCTCTGATTCTTAAATTGGCAAAATATCAGGTCCTCAAACTTATAGATTCTCCAAATTGCAACTTCTTAAAGTCTCAAATTCTCAAAATGTCAAACCCTCAAATTTTCAAACCTTCAGATCCTCAACTTCTCCAAATTTCCAGATTCCCAAGTTTCTACCTCTAAAAATTTTAGAGATTCCAAATTCTGGAATATGTTCAAATATCACATTCACTTAACCAGTATTCACTCTGTCGTCTCACAGAATTTTCGCCAATTTTTCCGAAAGTAATTCAGATACGCCCAATGTACATACCACCTGGTTCGAGTTTTGTGGTTGTCACCCTCGCAGACGGTGGCTCGTTGCACGTCTCAACGACCCACGACACGCTCGAGTCTTTCCTGCGGTCTTCTATCCTATCATCCCGTACCTGATAATCGATAACGATCGTTGCTCGAGTGGCTGTTCCGTGGGATAAGATCTTCAACACCTTTCGATAGATGGCGACCGATTTGCGATACTCGAACGGTTCACGGTTTCTAAAGTAAATCGGGATGTACAAACGCTTTCATATCGACCTTAAGAGGAGCAAAATCTTGGTAAAACTGCAAATCGTAGATAATTGCACCTCGATTTGTTTGAAATACTTTAGTTTCCCGGTAATTTATGCTTGTCATCGATGATTTCATCTCCGCGATGGCGTCTATCAGGTGCACCTTGGAAAGTTACGTGTAGTAGAGCCACGCAGCGAGGTTTCTCTATCAATCTCGACCGTTTAGCAACGTAACTCGACGTCATCGGTCTCGGTGAAGCGCTTTCGTGGCCCCTCTGCAAGTTGCTGCTTCACGCGATGATCTTATCTTTCACGGAGCAACGAGATTAATAACGCGAGATCGAGCTGCCTCGAGAGTTCGGCTCGGTCGCTGGAGAAAATAGGAGCAATGGAAGGATAAGAGAAAGAACGACGAGGCGGAGAGAAAGGGAAGGAAGCTGGCTGGTAACAGACAAATACAAGACAATGAAGATTAATGTTTCAGCTTCGTTCCCTGACCGTACTGTTAGCCGACAGCACCGTACGAACGGGCTTTTCGATAATCTATAGGGACGTTCTTCCTTCCCTGTGGTTCTCCCGCCCATTCTCACGTTCAATTGCCTTTTCAATCGCTGAAACATACATCAAATTACTGCTACGCTTTTTTACCGCCAGGGTCAAGATGTTCATTCCAGTTTCATTATAAATCTTTTTTACTACAGTAGTAATTATATAAAATTGCAAATTTGCAACATTTTAAGAATCTTTTGTTGTCATGTCTTTGTCGAACTGTCTCTCATATTTGATTAAGATAAAATAAAATTGATTTATTAGTCGATACTTGCAAGTTGAATAACGAAGAACGTTTCTGTATGACTTCAGACCAGCAGTCGGCGTGACATGGATGTGAGCTTCACGAACGTATTAGAGGGGGCTCGCCAGTACTTCCAGGGACTGCCCGTACCGAGTACAGGTGGTGCGGCCGCGTCAGCGGAACACAACCTCGCAACATCAACGAGTTCCTCCTCGTCCACGTCGACGTCCCACGAACATGGCACGGCTTCATCCGTGGCTCCTCCGTCACCGGCACCACCCGCACCGCAAGCACCACCGCCATTATCGCTACCGTCGCAATCGAATCCGGCTAGCAGCAGCAACAACAGCAACAGTACCAGCAGCAGCGGTAATAGCAACAGCATCGATCAAGAAACGAGTCGATATCTCAGCGACGTCAGACCGTCGTCGGTGGACAATGCCGCTAGCAGTTCCAACAGTTTCTGGAGTCCGTCGGTCGAACCTTATCCTCCTCAACCGACCAGAGTCGAAGTCCCGGATACGAGGCCAGGCGACGAAAGCCCCTCCATGGAGGCGAGCTCCTCATCCAATATCATCACCTTAACGGAGATGCAACCGTCGAGTAGTAGATCCTCGTCCAGTTTCGTACAGAAACAGTCCTCGTCGTCGAGCTCGTCGTCTAACGATCTTCATCATCGTTCGCAGCCGACGACGACG